TTGTGGGAAGAAGAATTTATTGAGCGCTGTTTCCAGGAGATGCTGGAAGAAGAGGAGGAGCATGAATGGTTTATTCCAGCCCGTGATCTCCCACAAACAATGGATCAAATCCAGGACCAGTTCAATGACCTTGTTATCAGTGACAGCTCATCACTGGAGGATCTGGTGGTAAATTCAGTTTCTCATCATATTTCTAAAGCTTGACATCTCTCTTTGTCCAAGGCTGATTTTTGTTGTTGATAATGGCAAGAGAAAATCCTTTACACATAGGCCAGAGACTCTTAAACCATGCCTGGCTGTGGTGGAGGGGGGAAATGTGGAAAAGTTGAGCAAGGGATGTTTCCTCAAGTGATGTGACCATACAGTGGTTTTCTTCATAACCACATGGTGCCTTTCCTAGCCCATGGCATAAATTCAAGTGGCTTTGGGTATGCATAGTATGTTAGGGAAGAAAGGCAGTGAGCGAAGCATGCTGACCCTGTGAAGTGCCATCGGTGACAGGACTGCAAGAGTTTAATTCAGCATCTGTCAACACTTAGGTTTGGGTAGGTACGACCCATGTTCTCAGGTCTGTCTTGGATCATGCGAACCATAGCAGATGTCTTTGTACAAATCCTAAGGAAGAGGAAAACAGCTAAACTACGATTATTTCCCTGTTTCTTGCTACATGACTTCTGTCCAGAGGTTAAATAAAAGGAAATGGCAGTGTGTACATATTTTCCCTAACAAAATACGTTATTGATACAGAGTACAAAAACCACATCATAGTGTCACATAACTGCTGTGAAATTGAGATGCAAACCCCTACTTTTCCAAGCTCAAGCAGCTGCAGGCAGCAGTTTTAGACTCAATTAAGAACACAAAAGCCTAATCCTCCACTTTATGATAAAGAGCTGGCTGCCCACCTATAACTGCAGGACATTGTAGAGCAGCGGCTTGCCAAGTGGGAGGACAGGGTAGTCACAGACAGAGATATTTAAAAAATCAATACAATGTTCATATATGTTAAACTCCCAGGAGTGGCTTAAGTTCCTGGAAGAAGTCTCCTCTTGCTTAAATAATCAACATCTAAAAACCTCATTGCACGTTTTAACAGCTCAACAGCATTAAGCGAAGTTGCTGTGTTTGGTGCGCACCTGTGGTTTTCGTGTTTCTTATTCCCTGAGCCCTTATCTGACTGAAACGTCCAGGTGGTGCTAAGGAAGGATGGATAATTGAGGCACTAGCACGGAGGAGTGGGCTTTTCTAGTGATTATAGAGACTTTTAGTATATGCAAAAACCCTATTTGCCTGACTGTTTCTCTAAATCCGTAAACTGTTCCTATTGCTGTCTGCCTAGAATTGTGTTGTTTGAAAATGTAAGATGAAAATAATGATTCAACTAGACTTCTGTGTTTCCATTCCTCAGGTCAAGAGTAATCTGAATCCAAACGCAAAGGAGTTTGTTCCTGGGGTGAAGTACTTAAATATTTGAGTAGACTGGGCCCTCTCTTGGTGGATGTAGCACAATTTCCACACTGTGAAGCCAGTATTAGAAGATTTAATTGTAAAAGCTCTCTCTTCTTGTCACTGTGTTACACTTATGCATTGCCAAAGTTTTGTTAGTCTTGCATGCTCAATAAAAGTGCTGAGACTGTTATTAAGTAAATCTGTCAAAAGTTTAATGGAAACATAATTGGGCCCTGGCTCTCTGCAAAGGAGGCAGTGAGGTAAGAAGCACCAGTCAAGTTGAGACAAAGTACCACGTTTATAAAACCTTCTGCAGACTCTGTCTTTTTAAATAGGACCTGGAATTTGCTACAATGGTCTGTTTTTAACTAAAGATGAGTTAACTGGTGCTAGTTTGCACCTGATAATGCCTTAACTTAAAAATGAAAGCTAGGAGATCTGATTGTTATGCAAATTAGCTAACTTTCCTTTGAAATATCAGTATTGTTACTAATTGTTAATTTTTCCCCTTAAAAAAACTTCATGCTTCTTTTAAGCAGCATGAGCTTTAACAGAAATTTTACAGACCTGTACAGAGTCGTAGATCTCAGCTACTGAACTAACATCCAAGCGATTGGAAGGAAGAAATTCCCTGTACTTTGAAGTATGTTATCATGTTAGAAACGTTTCACTTCCTGATTATGTTAAAGGAGATGTGAGTTTCATCACAATTTTTTCCAAGAACCCAGATACGTACATAGCACTGCCTATGTAACTTTTAGCATACAACTTTATTCTAGCTGGATTTAACCAAGAAAACCCTAGCATTAGTGATTTGAGTGGTGCTTTTCCCTTGCTTTGTTTAATCATCACTACACAATAGTCTACAGCACAACAACTTTTTTTTTTCTTTTAATAAAGCTAGAACAGTTTTGGCTTCTTAAACTTCATACTCGGGTAGGTTAAGCTGCCATACGTGTTCAGTGTGAATAGTGTTTAAGTTGAAAATATTGTAAAAAAATTATATTTTTTCAAAAATATTTAAAAAAATAAATAATAGTAGAACTGATGTGGTGGCTGTCTCATGAATATGCATCTTGCATAGAAGCGCATTTGGCAACATGCAGAGGAAAGGGATGACATTATGGATATGGTGCCTGTAAGGCTGTTTGTAACACGATAGCCCAAAATATTCATCTGAGATTGGACTCTGATAGCTCTTTTCTTTCTTTCCTCCGGCTTTATGCACTTATTTTCCTCCGTTCTCACCGTTGCTAATCCCAGTTCAGCTCCGCTGCTGCTGGCAGCACGAGCAGTCCTAGTTAACAGCTGATGGCACTATATAAAGCCCGCTGCCTGGCGCATGCTGTCGGGGGCTTTGGCACGGTGGCTGTTGGAGCAGGGCTGCTCCCCATCCCATAAACCTGGGAGAGCTGCCGGAGGGTGTCGGTGAGTTGCGAAGTGGCTGCAGTAACAGCCTCCAGCAGTCCTCAGGTATGAGTCTGATCCACTCTTGCTTCATAAATTCGTCCAGCCTTGCTGTTAATATCTCTTTTTTTTTTTTTTTTTTTTTTTTTAACTTTTGGGAAAAACCACGGAAACACATC